CGATAAAAATTCGGAACGAGCAAAGCCAGGTTTGCAGGTCCTGTAGTGCAGTCAGCAGCTGGGGTGTGTTTTTTTTTTTTTGTGCAATTCTGCCCGTGGAGAAGGCCAACGCCACCCTCCCCACAGCCATGCATCCCTCCAGCCTGAAAAGCATTTGGTGGGTGCACCTAGTGAGGGTGGCAGAGCAAATCCTCTGGGCATCCAACCCCCTGGCACCCCTCGCGTTGGGTCGGCGGAGCGGCTCCGGGTATCGCCACCCCAAAATGCCATTCTCCAAACACCTTCATTGGCATTTTGAGGGGCTAATTTTAGGGCCAGACCCCCTTGATGGGAAGTGACAGCGCGCTGCCGGAGCCACCGCGGCTCTCTGGGTTGGTGTGTGCTCAGGAGCTCGCCCTGGGTACCGTTTGAGAGATGCTGGCTGCAATTTTTCACCTGTTTTCATAGGGAAAGCTTTATGTGCTGTAATTCATCTTGCATCCCTTAGCAGCTCCGGATTAGTCTGTTAGCTGTTAGACTGCTAATGAGAAAAAGAAAATAACTGAGAGGTTATTAGTGGCTGAGATCCTGACTGCTTGACAAAACTCCTCTTCAACACCTTTTGTGTAAGTAAGAACTGGAAAATTCAACCCGTGTCTATAAGATCAGGCAAGAGCTCAATTAACTCCCCCCCCGAAGTCCTTGAAAATTTTTAGTGCATCACGTCCTCACTGTAATAACAAAAATGATGGTTTCTCTTCGGGAAAAAATCGAAGAGAAAAGATGACGTTCCTCAGTGCTCAATGGATTTAATCACTTTGTAATGTATCAGAAAATGAAAGCAAGCTATAAAACATGAGGAAACGTGGAAAAAAAAATGCTGCGTTTTCCTTTAACAAGTATAAGCTGAAACTAAAAACGAAAATCATTTTTTTGTTCAATATTTTAATTTTTGCTTAATACTTTAACAGATTTAACATTTTTAATAATCCGGAGTAATGGTAAAATTTCGGTATTGCTTTTTGTTATTGATAAAGTGATGGAGTTTTAACAAACAAGAATATCCTTTCAGGTGGAGGCGTGTGCTTTTAAGCTTTATTCCCTGTTAAAGTTGATGAGGACTTCCCCTTCAAAAGCAACAATGCAACACGGTACCCTCAGTACTTTCCTGTTACTAAGCACTGCTGAAAGGGATGCTAAAAACCTCGTTTGTGAAATACTGGGGCGATGTCTGTTTCTCCAATGTTTCAATATATTCAAAAATATTTATCGGTCTTGCTTTTTCCTCCCCTGGAGTGTTTGTTTGGGGCAAGACCACAAAGACTGCTGTTTGCATGACGAGTTTGTAATCTTTCAATCTTTTCTAATGTGAGTAAAAGCTACTGGGATGAGGAGGAGTGGTTGGATTGGGCTGGTAGTCTGTCATTCTGGGAAGCACCTTAGCAGTGGCAGTGTGCTGCGCAGGGAACGGACCGTCATCCATGGCAAAGCAGCGTTGGCTTCGGTGCCAGCTGTGTCACCTGCTTGCTTACCAGTACAGAAAGTGAAGCTTTGAGAGAGATCTGACTTGTCTGATATTTCAAGAAATGCCAAAATCATATATTCTAACCAGAAAATACTGTGGTGAGGTTCTTTATATGTCTACTTTGAAGCTAATCTGGGGGGAAAATACCCCTATGGACTCTCTAGAACTGTTCTCTCAAATATTTTTCGAAAGCAGTCGTTGACTGTTTCAAGACAGATGGTGAGATGAAGGTACTTGGATTGGTCGTTTGAAAAGTATTCTCACTATTTTTAAGGCTTGGGAGTGGAGGGAAGGAGGAATGCAAAACAGAGCTGTAGGTCCCCAGTTAGTACAAGCTGGTCCCTCTGAAACAGCTCAAAACTAGTCATTTATTTCGTTGAGCCCCGATCGTCTGAGAAATACCTATACTGCTGTATTCCGCTTGTATTTTTTCACCAGTTATATTTCAAATGCAAACTGCTGCTTCTTTGAGTTTATGAATTAGTGCACTAGGCTGGTTCCTATTTCGAAATGCTGAAGAGGTCCATATTGACACCTCCTGGCAGTGGGCATCAGCAGTTTAGGCTTCTGTTGGAAGCCTACGCATTATACATATTAGTTTTGACGTATATAGATCATGAGACTGTCTTCTAGAGCAGAAAATACTACTTGTTTTGATTGTAAGTGTTCACATTCGGGCTTGGTGATTCCTGTACAGTGTCCGAAATAATTAGCTTGCTGGTGTTTGATCAGCTTGTTCTAGATCAGAGGACAGCCATCTTTGAATGGCTGCGTTGCCCGAATCCATCACTAATTACTTAAAGCTTTTGTGGAAGGTTTGTTTGGAGGAAGCTCTCCTTAAACAAAAGCAGAGTGATGTATCGATGTAAAGCTGGAAGAGGAGCTGCACAGTTTGCAGCTTCTTTTAGAATCAACCCTCTTTTGCCACTATGCCTTAAAAGTAGTAGGAGTAGTTGTTGTAGAGGTGATGATGATGATGATAATAATAATAATAATAATAATAGGTAACTCTTACACAGCCTGCCAAGGTTTGGAAATCAGCACTGAAAAATCTTCCCAGCGAAAGCCTTAGGAGAGACGTGGTCCCTCCATGTGTGGTCAGTGCTGTGAACCAGGGAACTCAGTAGATTCTGAAGAAGGACCAGAGGATCAAGCCCCCCGACTGTAAAAATGTAAAGCTGTAATGTAAATAAGGATTTGTTTGAGTTGCCTTAGTTTGGAAAGACTCTGGAGAGAGGCGAGCGTGTCGGATGCCTCGCCGCTGCTCTGTGGTCCGCGTGCTTTGGCTTTGCCAAGGCTGAAGTACGCACGGAAAATGTGTCGGAAGGCTGGTTTTTTCACTTGGTTTGGGAGGCTTTAGGTTTTTCAACATATGCTATAGGATACCTGTGGCCTATACGCTCTTCTCCTATGGTGAATCATGTTGTCTTCTGCGATGCTTCCGTAACACAATGTGATAGTTGAGTTTCTACAGAAGCTTTTACCGTAAGGATTAGTCTCGTATTGTCTAGCAACAGCTATATATTATTGATTTTAACCCAAACAGTGTAACAGCTTCAGCACTTGGTGCAGAAGGCTTAAATAATATTTGACTGTTTTCAATTGCGTTTTGTTCCTCCCTCCCAAAAGAAAAGAAATAGAAAAAATTCGATATTATTTGAAGAAGAGTTTTTAGCCAGTAAGTACAGTAGAATTTTATGTAAATAGTACTTAAAATTAGAAAAATTCTATTATCATTTCTCCATAGAAAATGCATGTCTATTTTATTTATTGGCAAGCGCTGGATATATAGAAGTTTAAATATATAGTGCCATGTTACCAGTTTTTTGAAGGTACAGTTTTGGAAGGTACAGGGAAATAATGAGTTTGAGATGTTCTAGAAAGCTAGGAAATAGCATTCAGGGCACGGATTTATCGCTTTGATCAGACAAAACTTGCTTCTGAAATCTGGATGAAGTTTTAGCTCAGTGAACACTGAAAGAACCTACATGTAATTTCGTCAAAAGTGATTTTATAGCTAATGTTCTGTAAAAATCTCTTTTTTAAAAGTAACTGGAACATCTCCAGATTACGCTTTTATTTTGTGCTGCTGCCTTTTTTTTTTTTTTTTTTTTTGTAACTGTTTCTGTTGTAATAATCAGTTCTGAGTTTCTTGGCAGTCTTTTTTTTTTTTTTAGGCATTCTATAATACTGCCGAGTATGCTCGTAACTACATGAAGCTTTTTTCATACTAAGCATAGGATACTGAGGGGATTGGCCTAATCCTGCTCTAGCAAAGTGGTTGGAAGTTTTGCCATTCATTTTAGTAGAAACAGGATTGGATGCTTTATTTGCTTACTACGCCTATCTTCAATACAAATCAGCTATGTCTTTGCTTCTAGCTATGCTCAACCTCATTACAGATACATATTACATTCCTTGCTCTGATGGGATAGTTAGAGTACCAGCATTCTAATATCGAGGCAGGATTTAGTAGAACAACTTGTTAATTGTTGGCTATTTTATTTTTAGTTGCGCATTTTTTTTATTACGTTGAATTATGTTGCTAATTTGAAATTATTTTTTTTTTTTAGGATCCGGGAAAATAAAATAAGAGTGAAGCTTGAGATATCATGATTGCAGAAAACATTCTTTTTGTTTTCTGTTTCAATTAAGAGACCATGTCTCTTTTCTTAGAGAAACAGAATATGGCTATTTAATTGAAACCTTAGCACAGGGGTTTTGCTGAGCATTCTTCCTGGGTATAAAAGAAAATAAGCTAATAGGCATCTCAGTACGTTCTCTTTCAGTACCAGAAGAATAAATTATTGATATGGCAAGAAGACTCGGAGCTGCTTTTCTCACGTACTCAAATGCATATAACAAAAACTGATTTACAGCTGTCATTCTCTTCTGCTGAACTGATTTGCTGTTGTCACTCGATCTGTGGGCTGACGAAAAGCAGTTATGTCCAGAGCAGCAAATGGAACCGGAGTAATTATCTACATTCCTTCTCACCCACATGCCAAAAAAAAAAAAAAAAGAAAACTAAAAATGTTATTGTATGTTGATTTCTTATTCCTGGGCAGCTATTTATTTGATCAGGTGTGAATTAGAATTCTGTTCATTAAACATGCTTGTTATTCGGCACAAGAGGGTAACGCAAGTCAGAGGAAGTAGCTGCCTACAACAGTAATTAAACATGTGTAACCAATTAGCGGGTTTTCCACCATGGCACAAGTATATAATTTGCTGAGTCTTTCTATGAGGATAGATGAAAATAGGTACAAAAAGTGTGCCTGACTACAACATCCTCATGTTAAACATGTCAATGGAAACGAACTTTAAATATATAATTTCTAGTTTGTTAACAAACCTCTTTGGCTAAAATGAACTCTTTTGGCTAATAGCAAAACATGTAATTTAATGTGGTTTTTTTTTTTTTTCTAGAGAAATACTGCATCTGACAGGGCCAATTAGTTGTATTAAGTATTAACAATATTAATTTTATGGCTAGGCTATAGGACATCCAGCTTAGGTATCCCAGAACAGCCGATTTCGGCAGCGCTTAACCGAGTCGTTGCGCGTTTCCAAGCAAGGTACGAAAAGCGGCAACGTGAGTTTTTGCACCTTCAATGGGATAGGATGGCTCTCGTTTCCTCAACCAGAACGCTAGAAGCGCTCACACGCTCTTGTTACTTTTATAAATGAATTCATTTCATTGAAAATTCTTCAGTTAAATAAATGCTTATTGATTTAAAAGGTTGTCTAGAATTACATTAAACTCATGGTGTCTCAACACTGTATAAAGATAATAAATCTAGGTAGTCCGGGACCACACTTGAGTAACAGGGGCCCAGTTTGTCCTGTCAGGTGCTGATTTGAGTTTGAAAGGTTACAGATTAGTTTAGCAATGTTAAGCGAACTGGCAAAGGCATCTCTAATTCTGCTGGAAATGAGGAAGCTTGATGGTAAAGGGGAATCCTAATGAGTCCATCGAAAGCTCGCTTTGTACCCAACAGACAAGGTGCTGTGAATTGTATGAAAATATTGGAAATCAATGGCTTCTATGGAATTTCATTAAGCAGCAGTATCCACAATTGATAGCACCTCATAATCTGATGGATTGTGCTAAGAAAATGATTAGCTAGGTAAAAAGAGTCCTAGAATATACACGCTGGGACCTCAGAAATGTTGAAGTGGGGCAATTTGTACGAAATAAAAAATATTGATTTTACTTATGTGCAAAATTTTTAAATGCAGGGGGGAGTTGTCTTGCGAGTCGTTGGCTGATACGATCTTTTGATTTTTCTAGCAGTCCCAGGAGAAGGAGCCGATGACGGTGATAGCGGGAACGAGAGCCGGAGCGGAAGCGAAGAAACCAACGTTTGCGAGAAATGCTGCGCCGAGTTCTTCAAGTGGACAGACTTCCTGGAGCACAAGAAGAGCTGCACTAAAAACCCCCTGGTGCTGATCGTGAACGAAGATGAAGCAGCTCCGCCGCCCGCTGAGGAGTTCCCCGAGCCCTCGCCCGCCAGCTCTCCCAGTGACCAGGCAGAGAGTGAAGCCGCTGAAGAAGGCGTCCAGGCAGAAAACAATGATAGCTCTGAGATAAAAACCACGGAAAAGGAAGAAGAGCCAATGGAGGTAGAAACTTCTGCGGATAAGAGTTTCCAGAATCAAGGCACCTCAAACACAGCTACTCCTCTACCTCAGATCCCTGAACCATCTTCCATGACAAGCTATAACATGCCAAACACCAACGTCACGCTAGAGACTCTGCTGAGCAGCGCAGTTCTCGCAGAGCGCGCGGACCGCCGCTTCCACGAGCATCAGCAGCGGGGTGACGGCCGTGGCCATCCCCATGATCCTGGAGCAGCTCATGGCCCTGCAGCAGCAGCAGATTCACCAGCTCCAGCTGATCGAGCAGATCCGCAGTCAGGTGGCGATGATGAACCGCCAGCCTCTACGGCCATCCCTGAACCCGGTGGTGGCTGCCCAGGGTGGTCCCGGGCAGGCATCCAACCAGTTGCAGGGGTTCGCCACCAGCGCCGCCATCCAGCTCACCGCGGTCATTCCTCCCACCATCGTGGGTCAGGCCACCGGTGGTCAGCCCGCTGCCTTCGACAGCTCTCAGCACATCTCAAGACCTACGTCTGGAGCAAGTACGCCCAATATCTCCGGTGGCGGCTCTTCCGGCCCGCCGGAATCAAGCGTAGCCGCCTCCTCGATCGCGATTACGTCCATAACTCCCGTTTCCGTGTCAAATGCTCCTAACAGTGCTTCGCAGCCCCAGAACGCTTCGACTCCACCTTCAATAGGACATGGAGGCCTCACCTCGGTGTCCAGCCTGCCAAACCCACTTCTACCTCAGACTTCATCAAATAGCGTGATCTTCCCCAATCCGCTGGTGAGCATCGCTGCGACCGCTAACGCGCTGGATCCTCTGTCCGCCCTTATGAAGCACCGCAAAGGAAAGCCACCGAACGTGTCAGTGTTTGAGCCCAAGTCGAGCTCGGAGGATCCCTTTTTTAAGCATAAATGCCGCTTTTGTGCCAAGGTCTTTGGAAGTGACAGTGCTTTACAAATTCACCTCCGCTCGCACACAGGCGAAAGACCTTTTAAATGTAACATATGCGGAAACCGCTTTTCCACAAAGGGCAACCTGAAAGTTCATTTTCAGAGGCATAAAGAGAAATACCCTCATATTCAGATGAACCCCTATCCTGTTCCAGAATACCTCGATAACGTGCCCACCTGCTCCGGAATCCCGTACGGGATGTCGCTGCCCCCCGAGAAGCCGGTGACTACGTGGTTAGACAGCAAACCTGTTTTGCCGACCGTCCCAACTTCCATCGGGCTGCAGCTGCCCCCCACTATACCCGGCGTGAACAGTTACGGCGATTCTCCAAGCATCACTCCCATGAGCAGGTCACCCCAGAGGCCTTCTCCTGCCTCCAGCGAATGCACTTCTCTATCCCCGAGCCTCAACACTTCCGAGTCGGGTGTTCCAGTGTCTGCCGAATCCCCGCAGCCCGTTCAGAGCGGCTCGTCTCTGACCAAGGCAGAACCTGTCACTCTGCCTCCCACGAGCACGCGGCTTGGGGACCTTTCTGCAAGTGGGCAAGTTTCCACAGCTTCCACGTCTTCAATTCCTACTGCTGTTACGGACAGCAGTAGTTCAACAAGCCTCCCAAACCCTGTGCTTCCAGCAGTATCTGACCAGTTCAAGGCAAAGTTTCCATTCGGTGGTCTGCTAGACTCTATGCAAACGTCAGAAACCTCAAAACTGCAACAGCTGGTGGAAAACATTGATAAGAAGATGACAGATCCAAATCAATGTGTCATTTGTCACCGTGTGCTTAGTTGTCAGAGCGCTCTCAAGATGCATTACAGAACGCATACAGGAGAAAGACCATTTAAATGCAAAATTTGTGGACGTGCCTTTACTACGAAAGGCAACCTGAAAACACATTTTGGAGTTCATCGAGCGAAGCCACCACTTAGAGTACAGCACTCGTGTCCCATTTGTCAGAAGAAATTTACAAACGCGGTGGTTCTTCAGCAGCACATTCGTATGCATATGGGTGGGCAAATTCCAAACACACCGCTACCAGAGGGCTTCCAGGACGCCATGGACTCGGAGCTTTCCTACGATGAGAAGAACGTTGACACGCTGAGCAACTTTGACGATGACATTGACGAAAATTCTATGGAAGAGGACCCGGAGATAAAGGACACAGCAAGCGACTCGTCCAAACCCCTTATCTCTTACTCTGGGTCATGTCCTTCTTCGCCACCTTCTGTGATCTCCAGTATTGCTGCTTTGGAGAATCAAATGAAAATGATTGATTCTGTCATGAACTGTCAGCAGCTGACCGGTTTAAAATCCGTAGAAAATGGATCAGGGGAAAGCGACCATTTGAGCAATGACTCCTCATCAGCCGTCGGCGATCTCGAAAGCCAGAGCGCAGGCAGCCCCGCGATGTCAGAGTCTTCTTCCTCCATGCAAGCTTTGTCTCCTGTAAATAGCAATAGTGAAAGTTTCAGATCAAAGTCCCCAGGTCTCAGTAACCAGGAAGAGCCACAAGAAATACAATTAAAGACAGAAAAACCAGACAGCCCACCGCCACCCGCGACTGAAAACGGAGGCGCATTAGATCTGACATCCACCAACCCGGGAAGACCGGTCATCAAAGAGGAGGCTCCTTTTAGCCTGCTGTTCCTGAACAGAGAACGTGGTAAGTTTAAAAGTACTGTTTGTAATATCTGTGGCAAGCCTTTTGCTTGCAAGAGTGCATTGGAAATTCACTACCGCAGCCATACTAAAGAACGTCCATTTGTTTGTACAGTCTGCAATCGTGGGTGTTCCACTATGGGTAATTTAAAACAGCACTTACTGACGCACAAATTAAAAGAGCTGCCTTCTCAGTTATTTGAACCCAACTTTACTCTAGGTCCCAGCCAAAGTACTCCTAGCCTGGTCACCAGTACAGCGCCTACCATGATCAAAATGGAAGTGAATGGTCACAGCAAGCCGATCTCTTTGGGTGAGGTTCCCTCGCTTCCAGCTGGAATCCAGGTTCCTGCTGCACCACAGACAGTGATGAGTCCGGGGATCACCCCAATGCTGGCACCCCCCCCTCGCCGGACTCCCAAGCAACACAACTGTCAGTCGTGCGGGAAGACCTTCTCCTCAGCAAGTGCACTGCAGATACACGAGCGCACCCATACCGGTGAAAAACCGTTTGGTTGCACAATCTGTGGTAGAGCTTTTACCACAAAGGGGAATCTGAAGGTAAGAGGCCAAATAAAACTGTAAAGGCTCGGGGAGGGTTGAAGGCACTGTGCTTGGACTCAGCAGGCTTTAGTGCTGAATGGTTGTCCCAAAGACAGGGGAGAAGGGAGCTCCAAGAACACGCTTGCTGCTTAGAATCATAGACTCGTAGAATGGTTCGGGTTGGAAGGGACCTCAAAGACCTCAAAGTTCCAACCCCCCTACCATGGGCAGGGACACCTGCACAGCGGTGGTCGTTACGCTCCCACTGCGTTGGAGTTAGGGACTGGAACGCGGCTGCGCAATGGTTTCAAAACTGGTTCCGGGCGTACGTGCGCGCACGTCGTAGTTCGCCTGGCAGACGTGACGGCGCGTGCGGCCAGCCCATGGACGTGTTCTGGCAGTTCTCGTGGACCGGCCACGCGAAAGAGCCTTGCTAGAAAGCAGACGCGTGGAGCTTGCTCGGCTCCTTGGGTGCCTCTCAAATTCCCATTTTCTATTCTGCTTTGCAGCCATGGCAGACTAGAAAGCTGTTTCCCGCTGGTTTGCAGCGGGTTACTACAGGACTGATGCCTCTTAATCCCACAGTCTGGCCAACCATCAGGACACAGCCTGAGGAATACATTTTCAAGTGTCCTTTTTTCAAATCTTAAGTTTGGCAAAATAATCAGTGCCTCTGACAGGAGACAAAATATAATGAAAACAGACAAGATGTAAAAAAGGGAAGGGCAGAAAAACCCACCCGTTTCCTGGTACAAGTAGCGCCCTGGGTAATCTTCAGCATGCGAGGACTTCAAGCTCGCCTGTGAAATTGTCTGACCTGAGGATATAGAATCATAGAATGGTTAGGGCTGGAAGGGACCTTCAAAGGTCATCTAGTCCAACCCCCCTGCAAGGAACAGGGATATCTCCAACTAGATCAGGTTGCTCAGGGCCTCGTCCAACCTGGCCTTGAACGTCTCCAGGGATGGAGCATCCACCACCTCTCTGGGCAACCTGTCCCAGTGCTCTACAGCTCTCATGGTAAAAAATATGTACTCTCTATTCTTGTGGCGCTGTCTTTGCTTTCACTGAGAAGAAACAAAAGCGCAATGAGAAATCACTATGGAGCTGGGTTTTCTTCGTGTAGCTTGACTGGGCCTTAGAACTGTGTCTTAACCGGAATTGATTTGTTTTCCGTGCAAATTAAAAGGCTTTTTTTTTTTTAAAAAAGCGAGTGACACTAAGTAACAGCATTTCGGGGCAGCCGTCTCACCCGATCGTGCTAACGTGGTGGTGCTTCTTGTCCCTGTTTGCTCCCCAGGTTCACATGGGAACCCACATGTGGAATAACGCCCCCGCACGGCGCGGCCGCCGCCTCTCCGTGGAAAACCCCATGGCTCTGCTCGGTGGTGACGCTCTCAAGTTCTCCGAGATGTTCCAGAAGGATTTGGCAGCTCGGGCCATGAACGTTGACCCCAATTTTTGGAACCAATACGCCGCGGCTATCACTAACGGACTTGCCATGAAGAACAACGAGATTTCTGTCATACAGAACGGAGGCATTCCCCAGCTCCCAGTAAGTCTAGGCGGGGGCGCCATCCCGCCGCTCAGTAACCTCACCGGTGGCATGGACAAAGCTCGCACGGGCAGCAGCCCTCCCATTGTCGGTCTGGACAAAGCAAGTTCTGAAACGGGAGCCAGTCGTCCATTCACCAGGTTTATTGAGGATAATAAAGAGATTGGCATAAATTAAAAGCGCTCATTCCGCGTAACCGTCGGACCGCTACTCGACACGACCCTTGTCCTGTTCCGTGTGTAGCTTTTGAAGCTAAGCATTAGTTTCCCGACCCAAATGCATAGGTTCCCTTTCAAGTTTCACCCATAGCAGAAATACGTTAACTTTGTGGCTGCTGAAAAGTTGTCTTGCAAGATCTGCATGGTCCTTCTTGCAACAGGGAGTTTGACTGTTACCGAGAACTTGGAAACCTTTTGATTTAACGGCAAACAAGCACGTCATGGGATAACTCCAGTAGGCACTGGAAGAGGCTAGTCTACGTCCACTTCTCGCAAAACTTACTGTCACCTGAGAAAAGGGGGCTCCATTACGGCATCGTCACACTTATTTGCTGGTTTTGTTCAAATTAGTTAGCAACTTGGACTGTGTTTTTAGGAATCTTCATCTTAAATAAGTGATTTAGTACCCCGATGCTGTGTATTATTACAGCATCCTTGTCTGTAGTATTTATAATGTTAAGATGATGCGGGTAACAGACAATATACTAGCCCCAAACTGAAATGAAGCTTTTGTACTGCAAAATACATCTGGCTATGTGATTTTGATTTTTCTTTTCTCCTTTTTTTTTTTTTTTTTAATTTTAAAGCAATTTTTGTTTTACTATAAATAAGTGGTTTATTTCAATGCAGGCAAAATTGTGAAGTTTTATTGGGAAAGATAGCATGCTTTTCATGTGCAAGTACCTGTCAGTAACAAACCTTTTTTTTATTTAAATATTTGTAGCTGCTATGTGGACAGTTGTTCTATTAAATGAAAAAAAAAAAAAAAGTAGTGTGGACTTTAGCTCAATGATTGGAAAACAAGTTACAGACAAACCTTAGCACCATAAATTATTCACAACATTATAAACAGTTGTGAGTAAATACTACATGTTATCGAAGCTGTACAATAAAAAGGTAATGTTTGTATAATGTGGTCGCAAACTTTTAATTTATACTATTGCACTTTTAGTATTTTGTATTAGGGAGGTTTGTCTATAATTTGGAACTGAACAAAGACGTAAGCTATTTTATAAATAGTACTTTGACTCAAGAAATGAGGAGGAGAACCCTGTTGCAGTTTCTTGTTTTGTTTTAAGGTCAAACGCTGAGAGATCTCTGTTAACGAAGCAGAAAAGCCGCAGAGAGCTGTCAGATCCTTGGGAAGTGTGGGGCCTGCCATTTCTGAAATGGAAAGGATTCATTTCACTTTCCTACAAAGCCCACTTCAAAGCGTGACTACCCCCAACAGAATTCTGATGCATTTATCTTAGGAGTGTGATATTAATACGAGCCCAGGGTAGAGGAAGGAGAACATTGTGTAGGTTTGATTTTGCTGTAATCTGGTCTGTCTCCTTCACACGTACCCACGAGAAATTTGTCAACTGCCTAATGACACGGGAACAAAACAATAACTTGTGAGCAGCAGTAACGTACAAATATTCCGTATTTATTTCCAACTCTTGCTGATTGTCTTCTCGGATCGCTCCAAAGCACAATGTACTCTGATTAATCAAATAGGATTTTTATCTTGATTGCTTTGTTTAAATTACACTGAGTAAATAAAGAGAATGGTTCCACTCACAGGCTAGGCTGGGGGATGCTGAGGAGACTGGGGCTTAATCAAAACTTGAACAGTAAACGTTTTGTGTACTACCTCATTTTTGTGCATTACGAGCACGGCGGAGTTGACGCTAGGAACTTCCGTCCAGCAGAATTGCTTGAGGGACGTTATGGGTAGCTGGAGTTTTATGCCCCTGAAGAACGAATCAGACAGTGAGGTCTTCTCGGTTGAGACTGAAAAATAGGACAATCTTTCTTATACAAGCAACAAACATCATTGCTGTAAGAGGATGGACTATTTCTGCCATCATGCAATGGAGTGAAAAGAGGTTCAGAGACTTATTAGCTGTTTGTTTCTGTTGGAAATGAACAATGGACTCTACAGCTCCATTTTCTACAGTGATGAGATGATAGAGATATATAGATATATCTATCTATCTATAAGCAAAATTATATATCCGTAACACCTCTACGATATAACATCTTTTTCGCCGCAGTGTGTGGATGGTTAGGGGTGTTTCCAAGCATTGAAAAAAAAAGAAATCTGAGGTGGCTTAATGTTGCTGTATTTCAGCAATTGAATGTTTTTATTTATCTGTGTCATTTTTGGTGTGAGTTTTTTTTTTTTTTGGTTAGTATTTGGTACCATGTAGTGTTATCTCTATTCCCTAAAGGATGTGTATAACTTAAAAAAAAAAAAAGAAAGAAATGAAAAAAAAAATAAAAAGACAAGAAAAAAATGAAAAAGGAAAAAAAGAAAAAAGATGTAAAGTGTTGTAAATAAGATGGTTGATGATGGTACAGTAAGACTGACCCCATTTTGTATTCAGGGTTAGGTTATTCCTCTCTGCATGGTGAAGAGAGACACTATTTTTATACTGTGATACCATGTAGGGCTAGGAGCCTCCCTGAACCAGCTGGGAATTGTTACCTAGATCCAATATTTTTTATTATTAAATCTTGTTGGCTTGACACATCTACTGATTGAAATGGATGTCTTAGTCTAGGTTACTATTTTTGTCATATGGAATTGAATAAAATGCAGGATGTAATATTATTTCCGAATTGCGTTCCTTGATTATTCTAATAACACAGCAAGATCTGAGACTAAGGTCACTCGTGGTAGATTGGTGTCAATGACTTCTAATCGTCGCCTCTGAAAATCAGAATAAGGTCGACACCTTATATTCAAATGCTATTCTAATATATATTAACAATACAAAAGGGTAGAATTATCAAAATCTCTTTTTTCGGTGAAAATAAATTGTAAGAGCATTTCTTGCAAGACAGTAGAAAAAAAAAAAAAACAACAAACATTTTGGAGGGGGGAAACAGTCTTTGGAAGGACTACTGTTTCAAATTGACTGCTTTCTGAACACTTACCGTGTACTGTCTACCAAAAAAGCCTCCTTTTCATGTTGTTTAAGCATCTGCTTAATATTCACAATCCACTGCATGATAAAATTTGGCAACAAATTTATCAGGAGTAGTTCAAATTCTAAAATACAGGAGAGAAAAAAAAAAAAATTGACAACTCGCATCCGTTCATTCCAAATGACATAACTTGTACGTTTAAACCCATGGCTTTGTTTCTTCTTTTTTTTTTTTTTTTTCCCCAAGACCCTAATTTATCAAAGCATGTCTAACTTTAACCAAATTATTTTTCCACGTTGGTTTAAATGAAAGTATTTACGTTCTTAAGGTTAGGTATGTGATTAAGTATGTCCTGCGAAAAGCTGTATGTTTGAGTAACCTTCAAGCTGTTATAATCCGGTGATGAATGCCTGCTGCATTTGAAACGGACAAAAAGATAAATAAAAGAGAAAAATCTGTACTAATCATCTTTCAGTGGCCTTGTTATGAAGATGCTCTGTTTTGGGAGACCTCCCCCAAAGAAGGTACGAGTTTCCTTTGGTGACTCGACGACAACAATAGGGTTGTGCTTGTGTTCCCGCACGCACATCCCCGGGTCTTGCTGCGAGAAAACGTGATGTGCAAAAGAGAAGGAAAGCAGAAAAGGGCTGAGAGTCATGGTTCTGTTCAAACCACGAGAGGAAAATTACCTGCCTTCCTCCCCCCACCCCCCCAAAAAAAAAAAAAAGGATGAAAGCAGAACGGTGTCTATTTTTAAATATGTACGGGTTATTTTTTTTATGAGAGGAACACATTGAGTAATAGAATGTGCTACGCAGATAAAAATGGTCTGAATTACAGATGTTTAAGAATAGAGCCCTGCAGCGACTCCGTACCATCAGAACAATTGCCAGTTACCATTTTTTGAGAGGAGGGTTATTTTATAACACGAATACTCCAGCAAGGCTTTCAAACTCTCCACTTACACTTTTTCCACGAGTTATTAGAAAGGGAGCATTTATGACAAACGATTGACATAGCTACTTTTTTTCCCCATTTTTCTTCCTTTTGTCTATATTAGCCCTCAGGATATTTTCTGTTCCTTTACCTGTTTTGTCCTTTCTGTCTTGGCGAATACTTTGTTTTTCTAAAGCTGCATCTGTGCCGTGTTTGCGTTGCCTCTAGTTTACCTCTCTGTCTTTTGGAAGACACTGCATTTTATTTTTTTCCCCTTTTCTCTTAACTCTGCAGAAGTCAAAAGAGCTGCCTGGTTTTTACATCTGTGTGTAACACTAGCGTAATGAGTGATGAAGTCATCAGTGACGTGATCAGGCGTGTGTG